CAAGTTTGAGTGAAATATCACTACATATGGTATTAGTAGTTTATGATAGTTTAGTTTTAGTTTGACGTAAACTCGCTTCCTCGAGTTTGTGTGTACGATTGCTACTTAATTAGATTAGTAGTAGTTTATGATAGTTATAGTTTGAAAAATTTATGATGACTTCCTATAATCGAGACATGACTGTTGATCCCGAAAATCCATGACGTTTCATTGGACGTCATTGTGCTCAAAAGTTACATCTGCGTCTACATGCTATCTGGTTGTAGCTAGTAACCACAGGTAGGAATGTCAAACTCGTATATATCTTTACATATCTCTTTCGCTCACTTAAGAATTAACGATTATAGGCAGGGCGCTAGCTGAAAATCTATCAATGTGTTGATGAATTGTGTCTGATGTGACTCTTGTCGAGGGGGCTTCTCGTGGTCGGCCGTGCTATTATTCGCGCTGCATTTATACAGTTTTACTTATTATATATATTATTTATGTGGTGCACGCGACGCACTGTGCGAGAGCGCTCAAGACGATAATAATAAACTTTGAAATTATGTAACTCTCACATACGAACTGCATTTCCTACGAATTTTATATATTCTTGTAGATCTCATTGATCTCTACAACTTCACTTTTGGTCGTTTTGTCTAGTTTTGACTTTCGTTTTTCAAATAGTTTTTATTATTGTTAAAAATCATATCTCCCTCATGATTTCCATTTTAAGCAATCTTCGCTCTATAATTCCCACTTTAAATAGTACTATGTTTGCCTAGTTGGCGACTTTTCCCAAAAGTCGATTAATTTTCTTGTAGTTTTCGTCGTTTTAATTTTCTAAGTATGGAAGATATTATTTACTATAAATGTCATATCTCGTTCATACCGTGTCAGATTCTTGCGAAATTTATATTTTTGGAAGTCGAATATAAATAAGTTAACCTGCTTGCAAATCGACATGATTTTTTGCGCACTTATTTTTGAGCCTATTGTTGGACGTTAATAAGAGTGACGGTTGAAATTTATGGCGTTTATAAGATTGTATTATCATGTTTTGATGTTGACTATTGATGGTGGTTCGGGGCGTATTTCCTGGGTTGTCACATCCTCTCCTTGTTAAAGGAAATTTCTTCCCTGAAATTCAACTCATAGTGCTTGACACGAGGGCACTTGGTTGGATTTTTAGCTTTTGGAAATTATTCTTAAAACGTAGTTTCAGAAAAATATTCTCTCTTCTTATGATTTAGTTTTTCAATGAGGTTGGGATTCATTTAGAGTTATGTCGGGTATTTTTTTGTTAGTGAGGGGTTGTGAAGTAGTTGGAAGTGTACTTCTACTTCTATTTTGTTTTACAATAAGAGGAAATCCATTCATACTTTGTTTTATACAAAGAGGAAACGTAATGTTTTCTACTGATCAATTATGCTAAGGTTCCATTGAACCTCTAATTTTTCATTTTTCAATTTCGTCTTTTATATTTTAGAATCAACTGATTGAATGAAATCGATTCATCGACACTTTCAATTGAGAACTGTTCTTCTCCAAATTCAATCAGCTCCATCTTGAATCGCACACTAGGGATTGAAATTCCTCAAGAAAGAAAACAAACAACGAACCAAATGAAAATGATTCCATATACAGAATCGATTCAGATAACTAAAAATAATTGTACGAGCGGTAATCACAAAATCAATCGATCAAGTAACTATAACCCTAGAATCGACCATGAAAGACAAGATTGATTAAGTGAAAAGATGGTGAAGGACAAATAATCGTATCGAACATAATGTTCTGATACCAATTTGTTACAAATCTATAAGAATAAGAAGAAAATATAAAGAATGATTTGCTAAATCTTATTCCCATAAAAGAAGAGAAATAATGCTCTGATACCAAATGGTTCACCTAAGTGTCATTCCCAAATTAGGAACTCACCCTTATTAATAGCAACAACAACACCAACAAGAATTTGACAAAACTACATTTATTAGTTAAAGCCACGTGACTAACAATATCTTTATTTAGTTAGAGTTTAATATGATATTTTTATTCTTAATTTATCAATTTTACTCTACTTATTTTGTATATTTGATAAACTTAATATTTTTGAATGAATAAATCCGGTTTTCTAACCAACCAAAGATGATTGTCTTGATCATTATATTCCTTATTTATTGTATTTCATCATATCAAACAACAAACCTTCATAATGTTTTTTATTTATTTATTGTATTAAAACTTAGTTCCTTATAATATATTTTTATTTATTGTATTACAACTTAGTTTTATGTTTTCTGTAACATCGTATTTTCTATTAAAATAGTGTATTTTGAAAAAAAATATATTTAGTTTTTTAGAACAACGAATATATGTATTATATTAAGATTCACAAGTAGCTAGCATGACAATTTTAAGAAAAAACAAACTATTATATGTTATATGATACAATAACAGGGGAGATTACATAGGGTACAAACACCAATAAATCCATTTCAAATGAGAAAAAATTGAAATGTTTAAGCCAACTCCCTATACGTAGTTAAGTCATTCAAAAGCCGCAGTATATATGAACATGGTGCATTTGAACATATATACAACTTCAACTATCATACTATCTTTGAACTGAAGACAAAAGCACTACTACAAAACCGTGCATCCAAAATCTTCAGAGGATGACAATTCTTTGGCTTCAAAGTAACTATGAATATATGCATAACTGGGTAGTGAGATGGGCGAAAGCGTCTTCATGACAAGGAATCGTAAGTCCTCCCATTGGATGGTTGAACCCGAACTCCTCCTCTGACCTACGTAACAGATCTTGGAACAATGGTTGATCCAAGAACGATAAAGGAACCAAAAACCGTTTCCTTTGAATTTCTCCAACGTAAACAGCCAAATATCCTTTGGGAGCATCTCGCTGATTCTTGTTGTTCAGTTTAATAAGTTGTTTCGCGTTTGCAACTAATGACTGCAACCTGAAAACACCCATATTTCTAAAATAATCTTTTTATAGAATGATTTGATTGATAGAAGCGGGAATTAGATTGAAGCTGTTGTGATGTGATGATGGTTTCAGGTTTAACGTATATATAATGTATATACTTGCAACTTGCAACTAACAACCCAAATGAGAAATATTTTAATTTTTAGGGGGTTTACTTTTCTTCTTGAAGGGGCCTACAAAATGTGAAGTCTCACATGGCTTTGCTCAGTTTAGCACACTATAACAAGAGACTTTTTCTAACCCATTGATCAGTCAATATACGGGAACTTGGCCTAGTTGTTTCTCTGAGGTCATGATCATTAGGAGTCAGGGACCAAACTTTAATGTTTCAATTAGCATCTTTTTCCGAATTACGATACATGAGCCATCCAACTTGGAATGATGATAAATAGAGCCGACTGCTTCATTCTCAACGGAGTTATAGTAGTGATGGATACCGTTAAGGTGTTTTGTACTTTTGTAGAGTATCAGGTACATGTGGGATCCAAGTCCCGAGGGTACGACAATATATAGAATAAAAATTGGATAGCAATCATCAGAAGAACACATGCAAAAATATCTTCAATACAGATTAAAATTAAAATCCATAATAAAATGAAGTTGGAAAATATATATGACATTATCCAAAAGATGGCTGCAGTTGAGATTCTTGATTTTTGGTTCCGCGAAAGTTATGGCCTTATCGACGGAACAGAAAAGTATACAACAAATTATATTTGACATATAAATTACTGGAAAATGAATTTGATACTAAAATTTATAAAATAGATAAGAAAGCTCAGATTTTTTTTAACGTATATACATTTAGACCGGATCATATGATGATTTTGATTTCTTTATATTAATTAAGTTTATTAAGACGCAATCTCACTTGATTTGAACAAGTTTATTCATCATATGTTTTTGATGAAACAAATTAATAGAAAATGTTGGTATGTTTGAGATATCTACAAACAAAATAATTATATAAGGTCAAGACCTATTTATTAAAACAAATAATAAATAATTATGTAATAATAACTACAATAGTAAACATGGACCAAAAGTGTAATTTCCTAATTTATGTTTTTGCACAGACCAAAAGTGTAATTTTCTAACTCATATTGATATTGACTTTTGTTCAAATTGAAGACTTAATGATGGTAATGATGCTAGGATATGATAATAACTTTTAGAAGATCCCGTCTCGTAGGTAGTGGAATCTTTGTTATGATACCCATTTCATATCTCATAATTTTCTAAACAACTAAACTTTTAGAAAAATTTTGGGCCCGTTTGTCATCCGTACAACTTTTAAAACTCTAAAACATTATATATTAACACTATAAAGGGTTTTAAATGTGTATGTTTAAACTACCCAACGAGAGGTGTTTCAGTTAGCCCATTTAGATTGCACAATTGGAAGGGTTTACTGTTGGGATATGCACAACCTTACAAATTTATTTTGGTAGCCCTTAAAAAATGTTTTACAACCATACTAAGTCATTATACTAACTGTACAAAGACTACATTGAAGAGACTTTTGTGTATAATTAACCTATGAAGAATGTAAGTCTTATACTTGTTTGTATGAATTCTTACATGACAAAAAAGAGAAAATGTTATTATAGTCCATTCAACTATCGTCATTTTTCCTATCTGGTCATTAAAGTTATTTTTTTTTTCCTCAATAGGTCATTAAACTTTCAACTTACATGTCTATTAAATTATTTTCGTTAGTTTTTAACAGATCTTTCGTGGTTGGTCCCATACCAGTATAGTTCATCACCGACGTCACCACCGTTCAATTCTGGCAATCACCACCCTTCACCTTGGGCAACCCCGTCAACTATTCTACTAAACCTTTCTTTTACACCCACTTTGTATACATCATATTTCTCTGTCTATATATAGAACCTCATTCTTCGTCCTGCTTCTCTCTCCTACAAGAACACTAATTACAATGGATGGAAGTTCCATTGATGATCAAAGCACAACTACATAAACAACTTCAACAGTTGCAATACCGATGACTAAGCCTCCAGTGATTGCCAGTGGGGGCAGCATGGTTCTTGACACCGATGAAGCGGGGTTGGAAGCTAGTTTCTTGAATTCTCATTCAAAAGTTGAGATCGTCGATATGTTGAGGAAACACACATACAACGATGAGCTAGAACAAAGTAAGAAAAGCCGCAGCTTAAACAAAACCCCTATTACAAACGGGTTTAGATTAGGTGACAACTTGGTCAACGCTTGGGAACAACTTTTTAAGAAGAGATTCACCCCCAGAGACGTTGGAAAACTGAACCAGCTAGTGATACCAAAGCAGCATGCAGAGAAGCACTTCACGTTGCAAATCGGAAGCACTTCTAAAGGAGTTCTTTTACATTTCGAAGACACCGGGATGAAAGTATGGAGATTTCGTGATTTCATTACTCATACTTGAATAGTAGCTAGAGCTATGTTTTAACCAAAGTTTGGAGCCAATTCGTGAAGGAAAAGAACTTAAAAGTTGGTGACATTGTGAGCTTTCAGAGATCCACAGGTTCAGACAAGCAACTTTACATCAAATGGAAGACAAAAAAAACGGGTCGGGTAGCTCCAATCTTAAAGAACAAGCAACTTTACAACATGTTCAAGAATGGTAGTGGTGCAGGTGACGAACGATGCTAGTAAAGGGCCTACTACAAAAGAAATTGAAATCATAGGGACCATTCTTGTAAATTATAATAACTGGTTAACAAAACATCTGTTAAAAACTAACGAAAATGACTTAATAGACATGTAAGTTGTAAGTTTAATGACCTATTGAGCAAAAAAAACACTTTGGTGATTAAATAAGATAAATGACGATAGTTGAATGAGCTATAGTGACATTTACCTAATAAAAAAACACTTTTATGATGAAAGAGGGATATAATTGATTATGTTTCAATGATTTTGAGAGTATTAATTATGTTGGTTCATATATCCACATCAACGTAAGTTCACTTAACACATATCCCCAACTACAATATTGTAATTTGAACATCTTAAAACTTTTACATTTTTATGTGGCTAATCCAGGTGAAATACTAGATGTGATATGCATTGCATTCATGAAATGAGTACAAAGAGTACAATTTCAATAAGGACAGCTACACTTGTTACTACAGGTTTGATATCAAAAAAGTATGCATCTATCATTCTAGGTGGGTTTGAGACTTGTGTTTCAACTAGATACTTGGGTCTAGAGATTGAGAATTATGTATACGAATCTGTTTGATTTTGTTGTGTCTTAGTGTCAGTCGTCCCCACTGCTCGAGTGTTGCTTGCTTCGTGCTTTGGAGGACTCATATTTATGTGAGTTAACTATCAACTGAATACATTAAATTACATGATATTAAGGTTGAATAATCTGAGAGTGAAGGATTTGGTCGTATTGCGTAGCTCTCGTTTGAGTCTATCCATTATATGGTTAGGTCTTTTAGTCGAAGGATTATTTAAGAATTATTTCGTGTAATTGTATTCATGAAGTGGTTTTCTAACATTTGTAAGGGTTCTTCAGCAACTTATGGTAGGGGAGGTGGAGAACACCAGGAGAGCCTAGGAATTATTTACGTGCAGTTGCTACATTGTTGCGCATGTATTGGGAGTAATATTAGGAGTATGTAACTTTGAGGACCCGAGATGATTCTTGAGGAAAGTATGCATATGTGTGGAAGGTAGTATTTGGTCCGTACTACAGGAAGCACATGATCCATACTCAATCCAAGAAAATTTTTGGGGATTCTAAGGGGTTCGTTAGGGAATATAACATGGTTTGATACCATGATTCGTGGTAGTGGTTCCACATCTATCAATCTTTTGGCTATGGTTGTTTAGGCGTGAGGAGTGGACTGGTAATTTTTTTGGGCCCCAGGGCAATATTAGTTGGGTTTGATTGGTGCAGACCTAGGTGAGTTTGTTGGTTTTAAGGTCTCTAGGACCTTGCACAAGGTCGTGCATTTGAGTCGTGGGGCTCAAGAAGGAAACAATTGTTATGATCGGATTGAGGATTGCCTTTGGAAGCTGAGTGGTTGACAGATGGATTGGGATATTATTATATATGATGAGGATTATGTCCTGATAGTTTTCCGAAAAGGAATGAGCAGGCATGTGACTTTCAGAGTTGGGATGTAAACCCAACATGGGGGCTAGTTGGTTGGGATGTTTGACGACAATTTGTCAGCATGGGAATACGCAGGAGGATTGATGTGGTATGGATGCTTAGTGCTGCGATCAACAGTCTGTTTTCCTTGGATATAGGCAGGTCAGATACCAAATTGAGGGTTGCATTGCAGGCAAAGGAGTATATGTTTTAGATATTAAGTCGGTGTTTTACCTATTCATTTTTATGAAATCCTTGATGTTATAGGTAGTTATGACGGGAAAATTTTCTAAGGTCTTCATCTCAAATTCAGAATCTCTTAGGGTGTGCTTGGTCCCTATCTGGAAGATCATCTTACATGTGTCATACATTCCAAGAGTTGGGATGGTTTGTACCTGGTTGAGCCGGTTTGAGATATGGTTTGGTTACAAAACTAATGAGTGGTAGTTCGAACCCTAAGTTGGGGAGAACTAGGTATTCTTCTAGGAAGATCATCGATTTGTTCGAGTTTGTGGTTTCAAAAGAATGGTTCATAGGGATCTACGGTGCGGGTTGTTGGGTTTTATGATGCTACAACATCCTATGGTGCACATACAACCCTAAATACCTTGGATCTATGTTTTCACTAATTATACATGCCAACGGTTTCCAAGGTATTAATATTACAAGTAGCATGCATTTGATATAAACCATATAAGATACTAGCTAGCATAACATACCTTTTGATAGAGCTTGAAGTCTTGGTGTATTTGGCCTTAAAGAGCTTAGCCCCAATAATGTGGAAGCCTCAAATCGAATCACAACACATCATGGACAAAGGATAAACTTGAGAGAGAATTCCATGCACACAAAAGACACCATGAACTCCAAGAAGATCCAAGTGGCGTTTTTGGGCAATGGAGTATGTATTTATGTATGAGATTTCAAGAGTCATGGATATAACCCAAATCCATACCCATGGGTTTGTTATCCATGGTTCATGTGGCCTAACTCTTTACGTGTCCATACATAAACTTGGTCCATCATGGATCATAAGCCCAATACATATAAATGTAACTAATTAACATAATTAGTCCCCATAGATTTAATTAGTCTCTTTTGATCTCTAGATTAATTCCAAATTAATTCTTGATCAATACTAATTAACTCATATGATTTAATGTTAATATATTATAACTTATAATGTATTAATAAATCATATATAACCTCTTCTCTCAAAAGTCTATCCTAACAAATTGTCCTGATGATATGCAACTCAAATAGACCATGCTACTTTCGGGTCGAGTACATACCAATAATAGTTATGGGATTAGACATCTAATCGAAAAGTCACCCACTTGGATAAGTATAAAACTATTATTGCAAGTATGACTCCAAAATCCCGACTAGCAATCGTAGCTATTAAAAGCCACTGTCGAACTCTGAACAAATCAATGACATGTCCATTAGATAAGGGATCCTATATTCCTCCATTCTAGATATCATATGGAATGAGACATGGATTATAATCATTCTCTCTATCGATTTGTTGTTTCCCAATTTATTATTTATGACAACTGACTAACTGAATAAATCAAATTAGTCCAGGCTTGGCCAAGCACTTAGGGGTGTCATTACTAAATCATCGAGGGGCCCACAGATATCACTTTTATCCCCTTAAGGGTAAAAGGAATGGATAAAATTCAACTCATATGCTTGTACCAACTACTTGTTGAGTCATACACAAAGCCATGTTTTATAACATCATGTTACTGATGCGTTTTCGTACAATCAATGTATAACCAACTCATAGTCAACAACTCATATCTCTAGGTTTAAAGAATATAAGATATTATCGTCTCATGATTCACTCGTGATAAATTCCATGAAGTGATTTAAATGAGTGTGGGTTTAATCCAATACTTGAATCTTATTCAAGGAGCACTCATGAATACTGCAGCTAAGTCTAGCCACCTAGACAGACTACAGATCCATTCATGGCTATCTTGCCTCTATACCTACTTCCAAAGTATGATTGGCTATGGACGGTTTGAATAACCTAGTTATTTGGGAAGTCAAAACATGCAAAGTGAAACAGAAGAATAATACTAATCCTATATGGCCCCAACACTTTGAGAGTAAATAAAAAAACACATTTTATCTAAGCACCATATTGATTACTCATTATTCATGTAATTTTTCGAATTATCAACTTAATACTTGAATTAAAACAATAGTCATGCCATGCTCCAAGCATGCACACTATGTTTACCTATGGTCCTTTCTTTTGTGAAATAGATTGATTGAACTCGACTCCAATAATGCTCATTTCACAATCCCAATCCCTTCTGGAAAATGTAAGAATACCAAACTCTTGCCATTTACTATAATCTGTTAGATTCTAAACTTATATGCAATGATTCTCTTGTAATTACTATGCACAAAAGTCAAAAAGACTTGACAACAGACATTAGGAAGTATTCCAATGGAGATCAATTCCATGCAAATGAAGTCTCATATTCAAAGTATATTCCTTTGAACATCCTTCTTTGCGTTAAGTTTTCTAATCTTACACAGATTTAGAGAATAACTTCCACTTATGGAAACAATTCCATATTACCATTTTGACTATCACCTGAACAAGAGTTACCTCTTTTTAGAATATGTGAATATGTTCCTTTCCAAAGTTCACACTATACATCCAATTTTCCATGAGCAACCAATCTTTGGTAAACCTCAGATTGTCCTCGAAAATTGCTTAATCATTTTAGTCATATTCGGTTCTATTCCTTTTTCCCTCTTAATGCCCTAAGCATTTGAAAAATTTAGAATGGATGTAATCGATCCTATACTCGAAGCATATGGGACACGATTCATGCTATAAAAATTTTAATTTGCCATGTTCTCACAATTTGAACTATAAAGAGGGATGTCGTAATCATAATTGAATTTTGAGAATGCCACATATATAGAATTTCCTTATGTTGAACCATTACAACATAACATTCATATTTATCCTTAACTAAAGTTGATTAAAATCTCAATCTAAGCTTGTAGAATTGGAATGAAGTATAAAATTCACACCATTAATTATAGCAAAACAACTTTTCAAACACGAATTGAAACTTTTGTTTTCTATAATTAACATTGCTAACCTGCAACACATAACATAATAATCATGCTCCCATTAACATGATGATTATTAACATAACACTTATGATCCAACTAGCTCTGACATATATCCAGAAATCAGCTGGACTTCTTGAAATCAATAATTTATTGACTTTCTTACCAAAGTTCAGTTTTTATGATACGAGATGCTTGGATAAGATATTATC